ATTTATTAAAATAATATAATTTTAAAATATTTTTTAATTTTAAAAAATAAGTCAAATAAATATTATTTCTTTTAATTTTACATGAAAATAAAATATTTTTTATTTTAGTGAAATTTGATTTCTTTAAAAAAATGCATATGTCCAATTTAATAATTTAATTACAAAATCTTTTCCTTTTAAATCCAATATACTTTAAAATTTACTCTATTTAATAATTTAATTATAAACAGTATAATATTTTGTTTTTTTTTTTACTAATTTGTAATTATTTACAATGCTAATTGGGGAAAGGAAAAAAGGGTTCCGTGGAGTTCAAACGTACAACTCATAAAGGTGAACAGTCCTAACCTAAGATTCAAAACCGCTGAACCGGAACGGGTAATTCGTATAATATTTTGTTTTTATTACGATTGACGAGGAAATTTCAATTTTTGTGTAGCATTAAGATTTTCTTATATAGCAATAAGTGGCCCGGCAATTGGTCTCACTGCATCATTGCACTTGCCAATAATTCAACACCTATCATCCACATAATTACCTTGTCTTATCGCTTTTGCTTTTTTATCTCTTTTCTTCCAAAAAAAATAATAATAAATTGTATTTTGCTTTTGGGATCCAAAATGCTAGCATTAGCCAAATTTGGGAATCCCACCTTCAAATTAAGATTAACCTAGTTTGATTGATGTGCACTACCCTAAGTTTGTATAATTTCCGTGTAGCTTTATCATTTTCGTGTATCAGCAACAACTGGGCCCGCAGTTGGCCTCACTGCGTTGTTGGCCGTGCCAATAATTCAACCCCTACTTAGATGAGAATTTTCAGGTATAGTTGTGGGTGTGAAATATATTTGATATATTCAGGAGCAAAAAATATATATATTTGATATTTAATTTAAAAATTTTTAGAGATAATTTTTTTAATTTAGTATTTATTTAAATATTTATATTTAGTACTTAAGTTAATAGATAATAAGTAATTTATGATTATATATTTATGTATTTGTTGAATAATATTTTATTTTAAATTTTTTAAATTTAAATTTAATAAAATATTATTTATTTTTAATTAAAATTTAAATAAAATTAGCAAAATTTTAATAAATTATTATTTAATACAATCTAAACTTAAATATAATCTAAAATAATAATAAAGAATTAAAATTTAGTTTAATATTTAGAAGGCACATTTATGTACTAATGAAAAATTAAGTTAAATTTAATAATTAATAAATATATACCTGAAAATAAAAAATAAAATAAAATAAATAATAAAATAAAAATTCTTTAAAGAAGATGTCTAGGTTTTTATGGTCATAAACTGACAGTCTCCTTAATCCTCTGCTTCAGTTTGTTAGAAAGAATAATGGCTGATGATATTATTTTTATTTTAACATTTTGATATACATAATTTTGATTTACAGCTTTTACCATGTTAAATTTAGAGTTTGAAATTAAAAAATACCTACATAATAAATAAAATTTATAACTTGAAAATCACTGATAAAAAAGTAAAAAGATTACTAAAAGAAATCAAAATTTGAAGTTATAAGTATTCATCGTTTTCTAAGAGTACAAGGAAGGGAAATATTGTTGGATGCATGTATGATTTGTGTTTAATTTAAGGTTTGTTATTTATAGGTTATGTATATGATTCATTTTATTTTATTTTTATTTTTATTTTTTAAAAAAAATTATTGTTATTATATATATTAAGAAAATAAGTATATAACCAATGACTTGTTAGTTCAAGTAGATGAAGTTTAGTTCTCCTTAAACAAGATATCAAGTTCGAGTCTTATGAATGGAAAAAACAAGCGTTGAAAGAACTTCCCCCCATATAAGATCCAACTCAGCTTGACTCCGGATTAGTAAAGTTTCAATGTGTTTTTTGAATATCGAGGGGTTAATACACAAAAAAAAGTATATATAAAATTTTAATTATACAAATATAAGTAACATATTAGTTAAATAAAACAATCAAATTGATTAGATAAATAATTTTAAACCTTTCTATTTATTA